GCGGAGAGTGAGAGGCACGAGGAGCGATCGAGTAATTGAAGAGAGCGCGTGAGGTCAACCGACTCACGCACCCAGCGCGGCAAAGTCCGGTGGCTGGTCCTTATACGGGTTGCGAGGGTGCATGAGGCGCGCAGAGCGCTGCGCCAGGTGCGTGCCGTGCGGGGCGGCCTGCGGCATTGAAAGGTGAAGAAAGAAATACCGAAGTTTCGACTCTTTTGGAAGGTTGCAGCGAGAATCGGCGAGGGACTGGACCAAGGGTTAGGGTGGGCGACGGCTAGCTCCACACTCCTCTCCTTAAAATCCCTGTGTGTTGGCGGCGTGCCGTCGTCCTCCCATCCCTCCGTTGGCGTGTCTGTTTTCTTTCTTTCTTTCCATTTGTAGTTTTCTTTCTTTCTTCTAGGCCATCGCCAAACGCTCTCTCCAAACGCCCCAACGCCATCGGCGTCGCTCGTTCGATCTCCGACAAGGAAGTCATCCGCGGGACTCCCCAAATTTGCGTCCTCTGACACGTCCAGGATACTGCGTCCATGACATCCAGCTTGAGGAATTCTGCTCGAAGCAGCTGCTCGAAGAAGTATGCTGACTGGCGGAGAGTCTCCCTCCTCTTCGCTCGAGTCGAAGGACGTCGTCGCCGATGGAGTCCTTGTCACCATTGCCCCCCGCGTCTCCGAGGAGACCGCAGTGATTGCGTCAAACCAGGACCAGCGGAAGCATGGCGGTGCCTCAACGCTCCTTGGGCGCACCGGTCCTGGTGTGAGAATAGTTCGGATCATTTTGCTCGCGGCGGGACTGGTCGCTCTCGCCCTCGCGCTCTGGAAGACCGCAGCCGTTGCTCCGTCGTTAATTCAGGGCAACGGGCTGCCACTCGGACTCGCCCAAACCGGAGCTTACTTCATCGCCTACTTGTGTGAAGCCGTCCTCATTGTTGCGGTGACCCCATTCGTGGCGGCGAAGGAGGCTGTGGGGTTTGCTGCTGTCAAGCTCTGGCAGGTGGCAACCGCTTACTTCTCATTCGCTTGGGATGTCATCGCCGCAGTCTTCTCATTCGCTTGGGATCTCATCGCCGCAGTCTTCACCCTCCTTTCGGACGCCGCCGCCACAGTCTTCTCCTTCACTGAAGAATTTATCCTCGTCCCCATGGCCCACTTCCTCCAGCCAGGCGCACAGATTGTCCGGGACAAGGCGGTGACGGTCGCGGAGACTGTCAAGGACGTGGCTGTCTGGCCGTACGAGAACGTCGTGCAGCCTGCCGGAGAGGCGGTTGTAGGCTGCGTGCAGGACGTGTTTTCCTGGTCGTACCAGCGTGTCTTGCAGCCCATCGGACATGCGATTGGCGCCACCGCGACATTCGTGATGGATGCCGTCATTGCCCCGTCACTCAATGCCTTGGCGTGGGCCGTCGCGAAAATGTGGCAAGGATTGTTTTGGATCGGCGACGCGATCCTCGAGGGCATCTCCCGCATTGTGG